GACTAGGACAAACCGGAAAAGACAAGGGACTTCCGCTATTCACATGTCACACGTCTATCAAAACTGTCAACGCGCGAACAACAACAACAACAACAACAACAACACTTTATTCACATTTCCATTACAGGGTTTGTCAAACTTATTGAATAATTAGTAACTTAACACGTAGAATATTCAATTACAATTTAAACTAAATATTATTACATAGAAGGAAATGCCTAGCGGCTAGATAACCGTAAGGTTTTCCGAGCTAGCAACTAGTTCTTTGAAAGTAGTGTCGAATGTACAGGACATCACAATAATTAGACATACAAAACATCTTAAGACATACACACACCATAAAAAAAAGAACGGACTCGCCTGGACTGCATGAATGAAAAATCAAAACATTGTAGCGATGAACATTTGTTTTTTAAAAACTCATCGCGATTCTAGGATTTTACAAAGCAGAACAGCTAAAAAAACCTGGCAGATAATGTGAAGGAAACGAATTTTTAAGTGACAGCCGTCGAAATTACTGTGAATTTGGATTTTCGGTGCAGTTATAAAAGGTAAGAACAACGGAGAAAAACTATTACCTCGGTCGCTTGTTATGAAGTTGTTTGAAGCCATTAGCTGGTTTTGCTGAACGAGAAAAGAAGCTATACTGCCGCCTCGATTGCACCAGTGAACGGCTGCATAGCCTGTATTTGTAGCTGGTTACTTGTGATTTATATTCTTGATGTCGGATAAACAAGCCGCAGTTATCTATCGGCGAGTGACTCGATCGGCGAATGGCTTCGCGATCATAAAGAAACAACACTTGTTTTCTTTCGTAGCTGGTCAAGGTACTTTAGTTCCATGTGTTTTCATGTGTTTTTCGACAAACTTTCAAACAAGCTCTTGTGGCTTTTTTGTTTGTTTTTGTATTTTCTCTTTCGATGAAATTGCATTTCTAGTACTCTAAGAAATGAATTAAAACAATTTGCTTCGGGCGCCGTTCTATCCTTCTCATCTAGCTTCCAATTTTAAACTGACGCGTACACCGACCATATATGGAGAGCATGGTATAATAGCTCATATACCATAACGGCTAAGCCAATCAATATGCTAGAATTGCATTATCCAATGATTCAGTTTTTAATAATACTGGATGTTCACTGTAAATGGGAGTAATTTGATCGTCATCGCATTTCATACCCATTTCTCCAAATAGATGCCAATCAACTGTACACCAGTGTTTGTCTGAAAAAAAAAAGAAAAAAACACTGGAGTTATTTTATCACCAGACTTCCATGCATAGTAGAGAGAAATAACATATTTCTACCAGGTATGACTTACAGCAATTCCATCACTTGAGTTTAACTAAGCGTTATTTATCAGAAACGTTACAGGAAGAGCCAGTGTGATTCCAAAAAAAAGGTTTATGATGGAAAGGGGCTCCTTTCGCTCGGTCAACACTGAGACAATTGATTCCTCATGCGCTTTCCGCTTCCAGTAAGTAAATATTTACCAAGTAAGTAAGTACGTAACTTTTATTAATGTGGTCGATTTAAATACGCTTAGCTCATTATAGCATAAAGAAATATCCTGACAAGACAACTTTTCACGAGCGAAGTTTATTCAGCGATCTAACGGTCTTAACTACAACGTTACACTGCACAATGAATAATATATAGATTTAGCCAGGGCTAAAAGCGAGGCTCCCATTAATAAATTTATAATTTAAATTAAACAATAAACTTGTATTCGAATTCCACAATTCAGTTAACTTTAGAGCACATTTATGTCACTTTTGAGGGAAAGGCTACCAGATTTTAGAGAAAAATAATTTGCAAACAGCCCAAGAGTGAACCAAATCTTACATCGAGTTGATGGCCTCATATGTACACTCAAAAACTGGTAATTCATGTTCGATCACATTTAAGAGCCATAATGGCTCTTGATCACCGTAGATTAATTAGTGGAAAAAAAATCAGGCCAACTTTTTTGCGTTCGACAAGTTTACTTTGCAAAATCTTGTCAACAAATCTGGGTGCGTGTAAACCAACTGTTTTTATCATACCGGCATTCATAAACTGTTAAAAAAATTTCCAAAATCACCTATACGGCCATCCGGTTCTCACTTTTGCAGTGCGAGCTGTGGCGAGTGTTTGAATGAACATTAACAGAGTTACGCTCCAACATTATAAAGAATTTATTATGTTTATTTTTTATTTAATGGTTTAACGCGCGGCATTTTGAGTACTCCTGCAAACGATGTTCACTGAACGACTGAAAGCAATCGGCACAGCGAATAAAATTACAAGAGAGACTACTAACAATCAATAAAAGAAATATAATTCGGTGAAACATATACAGAGACAACAATTTTCATTCATGAATACAAGTATTAAAGTGTCCCTAAAAACCCTGAGTCTTCAAGCTTCAAGCTTAAGTTTATGTTTTAAGCCGGCTTCCCGGTCGTTGCTTTTTTCAAAGACGAACTCGAGGCAAGAAAATCGCTCAAAGCTTTCTTTTCCGGCCAGAATTATAACTAAATATTCTTTGGAACGTTTTCTTTCTATTTGCGGTGAGAAACTGTCTAAAGGCTTTTTAAAGTTCTGTAAGCTTATATCAAACCTGATACTCGGTCAGATCATTGTCACAAATCTTACAAACGTGCATAAACTAAATGCCCGCATAAACTCTTCCTGAATTCATTAAATTAGATACAAAAAAACAAACATCGAATACAATAATTTCTCTGGCTTACCATTCGAGATGCAGCTCCTGAAAGGTATCAAGAAAAGCCAGTATCGCTTCAGACTTTGCAATCCTCTTACGCATCAAGCAAGGTGAAAACCAAAACGATGCCATCCGAAATCGGATTTCCGACTTTGACAAGCGACGTATTCCTCAACCAAAAACCCAATAAACAAACTAGCCATGAATAACAAAAGACTCCTGATAGCAGCTGAATTTCATTTTGCACATCCAGTGGAAAAAGACAGTTAAAAACATCACAAGTTGACACAAAACTCTGTCAGCTTCAGCTGTCAAAGTAAACAAGATTCAAGATGCTGCATAAATTTTCCGCATGAACTCACCTGTCAAATTTTGACCAATCAGAGCATAAAAATTGGACGTAGAACGTGACCAACGCGTGACCATGGTGAGAAAAGTCATAAGCAACTGTCTTCCCTGCCTGTAACAGCTGGCTGAATTTTCGCGTCCAAGGTCAGTTTGCAATCAAAATTTTAATTGTGTAGCACATAAACACAACATATTTCATATGAATTTAGAAAAAAATTGATCTTGAGCCTGCGATCAATTGAGAACTAGTAACTTGTCAGCGGATAACTTCAAAAAAATACTTGACCTCGATGGGTCGACACCTGAGCCCGCGATACGGTCAAGTGACACTGGTCAGCGGGTACCCTGTTTTGACAGCTGTCAATTGATCAAAAGATTGATGTCCAATATGTGTGCATTATCAGTTTAACTAGTAAAAGCATGAGATTGAACATTGTTCGCGATCTAGTAAAACAATTAACTGGTCAGCGGACAGCTTCCAAATAAATCACGTCACCTCGATGAGTTGACATATGAGCCCGTGATATGGTCATGGGATACTGGTCAGTGGCTATCCTGTTTTGACAGCTGTCAATTGACCATATTGTGAATGTCCTATACTAAAATCCTATATTAAAGATGTGGACTTGCCAAGACACGCCTGAGACACCCCTCCCTTCCTTTTCATAGTCTCCCCTACCCCACCCGTACAATCTGTAGACGCGTACGTACGTACGTACGTACGCTCGGTCAATCACGTGACAACCAAACGAAAAGAGGTTGACCATATTCCATGGGTATGGGGCTCTGTCCCACGCGCGCTGCGCGCGCGCGGGAGCCCCGCTAATAATTTTTAGCGCGATCTATAACCAATTGAATATATGAACAAAGAATGGTCCGTATTGAGAATAACGATCTGAACAATCGTCGGCTAATTGAATATGCAATAGCGTATTGCAACAACGATAGTGCTGTATGTATCGGTGAATGCCAAAATTTGCCTTTAGCTTTCCTATTCTCGAAGTAGCTTTAGATGTAAGCATCTTAGCGTCCCTTGTAATCACTTACCTAATCTACATCCTGTCATCTGCAGAGGACAGCCAGCTTCATCAGTTGCAACATCCTCGGAGACCCAGGGGCAGATAGTGGGGACGAGGGAAAGTCTAAACGGGCGGAAAAATATGACACGAAGAAAAGTAAAGAACGGCGAGAAGAGCCCCTGGGGACAATGTCTTACCAGACCAGTTCCAACGGTCGCCGCCGTTCTGGCTTCTGATTGGTGCCAGAAAAACACACGTTTTCTGGCACCAATCAGAAGCCAGAACGGCGGCGACCGTTGGAACTGGTCTGGTAAGACATTGTCCCCAGGGGCTCTTCTCGCCGTTCTTTACTTTCCTTCGTGCCATATTTTTCCGCCCGTTTAGACTTTCCCTCGCCCCCTTTATCTGCCCCTGGGTCTCCGAGGATGCAGTTGCAACGAATTGAACGTATCTAGCGGGAGCTGGTTCATCTAAACTGTTGAAGAATAGCCATTCGCCTTCCGAATACTCTGACTTGAAACAAAATGTTTATGAGTTTAAAAACCCTTATTAGTTTTCTTACACATTAAACACGAAAAAACCTCAGTTCGGGGTATATTTTAAATGGTTTCTACACAATGTACTTTTAAGCATGTCAGAGAAGCCTTTATACCTAATGATAGTGATGACGAACTTGCATTGCTCGGTACACTGAAAAGTCCTACGTAACCTACGTTTTTAAACGGATACCCCTTCAAAGATGAAATTTTTTACTGTAACTTTGATGCCCGCTTTGGCGAATTTTGACTTTGCCATGAATTTTGTTACACCTGAAAGAATCATTTCCTCAAGACTCAGGACTGGACCCAAGCCTGTTGTGTAAGGGAACAAAAAAGCATTAGCTAAGCATCATCTTTTTTTGGACTTACTTCCACTTGCATATTTCCATCATTCCGTCAACAGCTTGGAATTCAACCCGCTTATCATCAATTTGTGGCTCCTTGATACATTTGACGCTAACTGATAACCGGTAATAAGACTGCAGGAAGCCAGCTTTCTAACTTCTTCCTTATTAAGAAGAGAACTTTGGCGATCACCACACAGAATGTCATCAGCCGTAAAACTCTTTGGTTTACATCGAGACTTTACTGCAAAAAGAAGCAAACCAATAACAAGTTCCATGGTCGTTACGAAGACCTTTCATGTAATTCTAGCCATACATGCTGGCACACTCAGCGTATTTACCTAAACGTTCGTCGTAGTGCTTTAGAATTTTCTTCTTTTAATACTTTCTGGGACGTGGCTTACTTGAGGGTGTGGAGAAAGCTTTAAACATGAAATTGTTTATTTGCTTAAAACAAAGTACCAAGTGATCACCATTTTTACACGTTATCATAAAATTGCGGAGTAAAGCATATTCATTTCGTTTTTCCATACATGTCTTTCGGTTTGGCCTGAGGCCTGATGCAACAGCATTACGTGATGAGACTGAGCAAAACAGGTAGAAAATATCAACCAATTCAGCAACGGTCCATTTTAAAAGGCCGTTAGCGAATTAATTGATGTTTTCGACTCTTAATTTTCCTTTCAAAGGACACATTTTAAAGGTCAAATGAACCAAAAAATTGACATATTTTCTTTTGTCGCTTTACCTTCACCAAACACTAAAAAGAACCATCCTAAGTGAGATTTGGGTAAAGATTTTCCCTCCCAAGCCTTTATAGAAAGATAAAAGATCAAAATCCGAGCATTTCCGAAAACTTCACGAAAAAGTTTCTGAAATGGCCGCGTGATAAACTGGAGACTACGTGAAGTCAAGGGCGGGAAAGCGTTCTGCGCAAGCTTCTGCGCATTCCTTATAGCCTGCGTTTGTTTGTCTCGTTCTGTAAGAGTTCTGACTGAGACTGAATGAAGTTCACGAGGTGGGAACGTTTGCGCCTTGTAAAGGCTTTTTTTGTTGTTGTTTTTCGTCACTTGAAAATTACTTTGGATTCAGAACAACCAATGTTAGAGTAAAAACAGATCATCCGTCAGTCTGAGGAGGAATAAAACTTTTTGAACATTTCCAAAGAGGTTTGTATTTTTCAGATAATCGTGCATTCGATTTGTGAATTGATTTTGTGTCCAGTTCTTCGCCTTCTTTCGCCGGACTGAATTAAAACCCGCTTGTATTCTGTCATTAGTAGGTTACGGTTAGTTTTTTACATGCCCAGATTTATTTACCTTTGCAGAACCAGCTTTATCCTTGTCGTCAGTCGAAGAACCGTAATGCTAACGCTTGCGAGTGAACAAACTTGAGCGCTGAAAACTTCCTCGGAACTTTAGAAGGCCAGCAAGCTATGGTTGCTTTAAAACCGATCTTGGGGAAGATTTACTAGATAATGATTAACTCTTTTTCTGCCCACATATCAACGCCAAGACTGCTACATTGAGGATTTTGTTTATATTTCACTGATCTGCGACGCTAGAAATGTGGGATCGAGCGCTGGTTTTAAAATATCAGCTCGAGTGCGACAAAGTTCAGTGACTTCAAACACATTGTGGGTAAACTTTAATTTCTTTGGGCAGATTATTATACAAAGATATTTTGTTTTTGTGTCCACGGTGGAGCTCCGGACCTTATATATCCAGGGACTTACGCACGCACATTTCCAGTACAACTCAAGGAAATTAGTAAATGTCGTTAAAGTCCGTTTTACTATGATGTATTCTTCGAGAAAATTAAATAATAAGAAGCTAGGTTATAACCACAGCTTGCAGCTTTTGAAGACAAATTGCCTGTTCTTTCCACGTTTATGGCCGCACAAACCACTTCTGCGCCAAGTCGACTCGAAAAACTCTGTTTTGAATTTCCCGCTTTTTACCTGACCATCACTGACGTCACAAGCTGTTTTTTTCGGCAATTTTTCCGACCGCCCTACGAAGATAAGGGCCAAAAAACAGCAATGTTTAATTGCGAATATCTCAGAGATACTTGTTTGAATTGAGCTGAAACTTCATAGTATGTTTATTTGATTCATACTAAACACATTTCACTACAATTGAACTAAAAGGTCAAAATTTTGGTTCATTTGACCTTTAAGAAGAAAATGTTCAAGACTAAAATTAGAAGCCTTTGTTGTTTCCTTATGTGGCATAAATGAAAAGAAGTTTGTTTGTAAACAAAAGACAGCGACAGAGGCGCAGAAATATTCTGACCTACCCAACGCACTTGTGTACGCAAGTCCACATATCAAGGCCTTTTAAGTACAAACCATTGCCGTTTTATTCATCTGAACTAGTTGTAGGAATCTTTTTCAATTAATGTTTTTTCTATTTCATTGTTAAAAAGAATTGACTGAAAAAAAATAACATGTTGCAAAACATTATCTCTATCAATTTATTAACCCTTCGTAACTTAACCTCGCTTTGCGTTCATACCTAACGTGCAACCACTCAAAGTCAGACCATACAAACACTGTGAGTCTTCGCTTTGATCAGCGGAAAACTGCACAAAACGAGCAGGAATTGGTTCAGAGAAGTAGTAATGATACACCCAGGCTTCTTCGTTATTGCTCACAATATAATCTGTCTGAAAACAAAAAATATCAAACGGATTTTTGTAATAAACGTGTTAGATTATGAATCAAGAAGACCTTGAGCTGTTACACGTACTTGTTAAAGTATTTGACTCACTGGACGCACACAAAACACCTTCCTGGCTGAGTCGGTTCTTTAACACATCCGCAAAAGTACTTAAGAGGGAATTTCGCTATTTAGCCTTTGCCTAGTTGCTATGAACAGCAAGGAGCTGCCACCGCACGGGTGGATCTTCAGATGTGGTCAAATTTTCTTTCAAAGTTCTTGCAATTCTGCTTTAATGAGAATGTCCCAGATCACTAACGCAAATGATTCCGACCAATCCACAGTAGCAGTTTTCCAACATGAACGAGAATTTGTAAGTCTACGGCTCTGAAGGAGTCTCTTATTTACCTCAAGTCTTTTGAACGTTTTTGCTATGTTATGGTTATTCTGCTTCGCAGAGATTTATCTGGTGGATAGTTTTATCCACCTTATGAACAAAAGGGGCCAGGAATTTGACCTTTAAATTTGTCGCCTTTGTACTCTTTCATGTTTTTAGTTTCGTTGGCACTTATAAGGAGCTTGAAGAGTCTATGTGTCCTGGTAGTGAAACTGTAACCAGTGATTACACTGCAAGGTGATAACTCTTCCAATGCATAATTGGAAAATAATGTACCATCTTCCTCACTATTGTAATATGGGACTTCTAGGGTTTAAAGAATTTTTTTTTCTTAAAAAGCGGATTGTTGTTGTTGTTTGTTTCTTTGTTTTTTTTTAAATACAACAAAAGATAAAGGCGCTTTGCGAAAGTCAGAACTGTCTGGCTAGACCGGTAGCATTTACGAATAAACTAATCTGACTGCCGAATTGCTAGACTGGTCTGCTCGTGCAGTCAAATATTAAATGCTCTTAGATTAACGTCCCTCACGTTACCTCATCCTCTTGAAAATTTTCACGAATGGAAACAATAAGCGGCAACACAATACTATATATGAAGGGGGGGTGCTTGGGAACTGGATTACTTTTTGTGAGATATACCGCTTATGAAAAATGTGCAGAACGGCGTTCCAGGAGCGTCTAGACTTCAAAACGCTTTGGGGTTAGGGAAGAAGGAGGGGAGGGTATGCCTCGTCTCTGCAAAGAATCTGGCAACGTCCATTTTTTCTCTATCTAGTGCGACGGTTGGCAAAAACAATTTGTATTTTTGTTTCCAAAGGATCAGATAAATCACAGATTAGCATATTCCCCTTTGCGAGCTCCGTGATCCATAACCACCGCCCACAGGGGGCTGTAGTTACACACCTATCGTCCCGTTGTTTGCATAGTTTCTCTTATCATGCTTGACTAACTTCAGTTGTTGAACAGCACACTTTCCTGCAACAAAATAGACAAAGAATTTCTAAAGCAGCATATTTCTCATTCAGCAAATGCTGCTTACCTAAAAACTAAGGAAACATTTTCTTTTTAAGAACAAACGTCCCTTTTTTCCCTTTTATTAATCAAAGGTTGAACATACAGTTTATTTGACCAAGCTCAACCAATCGATGTATTAGGGTTTTAGTTTCTAAAGAATCTGTGGTGACACGTCTGCTGGGAAATGAAATCAAAAATTTGGTTTTATCAACTGAAAGGCTGTTTACACGTAGAGAGGAAGATCCTATCAACAGGAAGATCCTAGAGGGAGGATCATCCTGTTTTCAGTATTCAGATTACATACCAAAGGTTGTACTTGTCCCTTAAGCGCTAGGATCGTCCTAGTACTAAGATCTTCCTAGCTGAGAGAAAATCCTGGTACTAGGAAGATCCTAGCACCATGTAAACTGCTTTCGCGAGGAAGATCCAAGCACTAGGGACAAGTCCGACAAAAATGTCGGTGGGTCGTTCAGTGGATAATCACAGCAATCAAGGCCGACTATTTCGTTTTGCGTTACCAAGAGCTGTTAATTTTGATAATTCTGCTGAAATTGAAGGCAGTTATTAACTCAGTAAAGAGACCAGAAGGGCCCAAACTGCATTTTTAAACCCCATTCACACCGGAGCTTAAACAAGTTTAAAAGCTGTTTAGTTAAAATTGGTTTGAATTTTCTTTCCTTCAGAAAAGCTGTTTACTAACTTAAATTGATTGCAAATTTAGTGCAAATTACAAAACATGTTGAATTTCATATGAATCCTGTGTGAAGCTTTGTGAACTTTTTTTCACGTTTGTTTTTCATATTTTAAACCTGGTTTTAAAACTAAACATGTTTAGTTGGTGTGAATGGGGCATTAAATTCCCTCTCTACTTGGAAACCACAAGGACAGAAAATTCTGCATGTAAACCCCATTAAAAAGTCTTCCGTCTTCTAGCATCTTTCTGGTGCTAGAATTTTCCTCCCTTTATGCAAACAGCTCTTACGTTAATAAAGTAAATTGGCCTCTGCAAAGCATAGTTGCGAACGCTAGCTCTACTTTCGAGAAAAACACCAATTCGAGACACATCTAAGCGGAGATTCTTTCATGATATTCAAGGTTCCCATTTCGTAACTGGAAGTATAAACTGTGTATTTTTTTTGTACGTCTTCATTGCTTTTTCCATAACTTAGCCATGGGACCAGCCTGCATTTATACAT